AAAAAAAAAAAAAGAGAGAGAGAGAGAGAAATGTTCTAGGGACTTTTTTTTTACTTTTAATTAAAGGTGTGGGAGCAGTTTTTGTCCTTTTGGGTAATTTTATTTAATAATAGTAACTGGGTTTTTTTCACATAGCCAAGAGCTTGGGTTTGTATTATGTTAATTACTGTCTAGGCAACATTTCGTAATGTGCCTGTGTGTATCTTTAGTGATTATTTTCTTCAGATGCCCAAGTTGGAGGTAGTTGGAAAGTCATGAGAGATTCTGACCATGCCTATAGAATTTAAGTAGGCAAGTAGAAATTTATGTGTATCTGACATGATGAAAGAGCCTACGGCGAGGCTTACTAGATGAGTTTGTAATGTAGTCCCATCTTTCTCTTGACCCTCTTGTCTTCCAATTTGTCTTCTTTATTAGCCACCAAACCCAGTTGTGTTCTTTTATTCTTTTTTAAGTCTCTTTCCTCCCCCGTCCTCTTTGTCTCACAGGAACAACTTGATACAGAGACAAGTACAACTCAATCAGAAACTATTCAGACAGCGGCTTCTCTGTTGGCCTCTCAGGTACTAAGTGCAAAAAGCAAGGAGAGTTTTATAAATGTTGTTAAGATTAGTGGGGTATAATGAACTAAAATGAGCATATGCCAAAGACCCTTAAGATTATCTTTGTGACAGTAACTACTTGTATCGTAGTATAAAGCTAGAGCACTGGATTTAATGGGACCGTCTTTGCACTGTCCAGATGCCGACTCCTCCCTCTGTGTATTATTTGATACTGCAAATCATTTAAATCCTCAGTAGTCACAGGATGCAGTATTCTTACAGAGGTTTTCTTTATAGGTCAGAGTGAATTTTAAATTACGGTAGAACCGAAAACCATTCTTTGTGGATCTTTTTGTGAGGTTGATAAGTTTTTTTTTTTTTAATTTTTTTTATTTTTAAAATGTGTTTCTGTCTCACATTTTACTTCTGATTTTCAATTATTAATTTAATGTAACCCATAATTCTTTAAAATTATTTTTTCATTTGTCCTAGAAATTCTCTCCGTGGTAGTCCCTTGCATACAGTAGGCACCTGGAATCTTTTTTTAAATAGTGATTTGGGAACCTTCATTTTGTTTGTGAAACAGTTGTTCAGATTGATTCTACTTCAACGTCTGGGTCACACTCTGACACGAAGTAAATATTTTCTTTACGTGCACATTGAGCTGGTGACCCTCGGGAGGTCGGTGTTGCTCACAGCAAAGCTGCTGAGCTGAGGCAGTGGTATTTCGCTGCTTTGTGAGGTTCGGGGTTATTTTAACGTGATGATGTTAAAATGTGTTTTTGCTGACCATTAGCCCTCATAGCCTCTAAAGAGAGAACCGTCGTGTTCACTTTCTGGAATGTCTTTTATTTCCATAACTTTTATCTAATAAAAAGTCGGGGTGGAGGAAGTAACTAAAACAGCATTAGGAAATGTGCTTGGTACTGATCCGTGGACAAAGCTGTTCAGCAGTCGTGAACTCCTGGGATGCGATTTGCATGTCTTTTGGCCTCTGCCGCACTACTCTGGAGAACGGTTCTCATAGTTGTGCCTTACCAATAAGTTCATCCCTATCGTGATCAGTACTCGTGGGTGTTTGCCTTTTTGGGTACATTTAGGAGGGAGTAAAACTTACATTCTAATGTAAACATTCCTAGAGCCATTGAGAGAGAAAACACCCAGTTATAAAAAGAGTGATTGTGTAGATGACAAGCAAGTACATCCCTTTATTTGGTAATAGAAGCGGTGTCTGTCTTTCTGGGGAGAGGATTATAATATTGTAGCTGTGTGTAACAAAGAGTCCTTACGCTTTGAGATAAACTTGAAATACAAAATGTTAGGATCTCTGGGATCTGCTTCCAAGGAAGCTGGGGGTGAAGGTGAGAGAGGGGTGGTTGGCTCTGGTTGGGCCACCGGCGAAGGTAACGGCCAAGTGGGGATTCATCAGCTAATGTGCTCTGCTTGTGTGGATGCCTGGAATTTCCCATAATAAAACACTTAAACATTTATCTCTGTTTTTGAATGTTAACAGAGGCGTGTGATTTAATCCTTTTTTGACATGAAACTTTGCTAAAATTTAGAGTAATTAAATTCTGGCTCAGCTGTATCGATTTTTACAATTTTTACGGTCAGAAAATGATAAATTGGTAACTGCTGCTCCTGTGTAGAAGGTGAATTTTAAGTGTTCTCCCACATGGGGGTGCTCCAATACCAGTTAATGCTACAGCTCTTAGTGCTGTTGCGAGTAAATATAGTTCAACGTGAATTTAATAACGATATGACAGGTCATTCTTAGAGCAGCGTGTTTATAAATCTGTGTTTTAAATTACTTAGGAGTTTTCTGTGTATTGCTAAAATATGCCTCCTTTATTATTTGAAAATTTCTACAAGTGTGGAACAAATCATTTCACAGTAATAGTCGTGTTTATTTTCACCTCATTTTTGTTTCTCTTAAAATTTTTAATACGTCTATGGTAAGGTCCCATCCATTTCTTAGAAAGTAAAGCAGTGGAAAGTAAATCTCGTTTTTAAGTTACAGTGCTTTGAACAATGTTGTGTTCTTTGCTTTCGTTCTCAGAAAACATCCAGTACAGACCTTTCTGATATCCCTGCTCTCCCTGCAAATCCTATTCCTGTTATCAAGAATTCAATAAAACTGAGATTGAATCGGTAAAAACAACCTCAGGGGTCCATAAACAATATCTGCCAACTCAACCTGTTGTCTTCAAATGCTAAAAAAGGAGAATGGAGGGTACAAGACTAGACATGACTGAAAATGGATTTAGGTTTTTTTTGTGACCTCCCTTACTGGGCTAATCGGCACTTGATCGGAAGTCCAGGTTAGTATGTGAAGCCAGGAGTACTATTATTATTGTGTTAGCAACAGTTACATTAACGATTTCAAAAAATTACTGCCTTTAAAAAAAAGAAAAAAAAACACCTCAAGCTATATTTGTATCCATAATTGACATCTGGATTGGGTTTATGTTTGATGCATTGTTTGGAAAATTTGCAATACAAACTGGCATAAGAATTCCTTGTTCGATGATGCACTTTTATGTAATTTTTTTATTAGAAAGGAGAACTAATTTTAGATTTTCGGCCTGATGGATTTTCATTTTTTTCCTGAAAACTTTCCTTTACCATTAGTCTGCAAACTGGATACTGTCGTGCAGCGGTATCCTGTTCTACTTGAGGGAAAGGGTAAGAGTACGTCTCGTTCAGTCCCTGTGCGGGAGCTCGAACCCTTACAAATGAAATGTCAATCCTAGGGTATATATTTGACATGGAGAGAATAATTAGGAAATAGTTGGTTTTGATGGGGTCATGATTAAGAAATGATATATTGGTTTTATTTATAGAATTGTTCAGAGTGCATACAAATCAGCGATCAGCCAGCGACTGTGTTTCTTTGAGCTTGTTAAAGCTCCACGTTTCTTTTGCCTTCAACCTGTTTGTCTTTGAAACAAAGCTTTTTGCTCCCCGCCCCTTTTCTTTTCCCTTTCTGCTTGTACGCAGTAAGGTAGAACTTGATTTCATAAAAAACAAAATGCCAGTATTTTCTTAAGCCATGATGTGAAACCAATGATCCTGTGGCCACATGGCACAGAACACTAAATTTTGGTCCCGTGGCTGAGACTTGAGGGTGACTAGAAGTCATGCCTGTGGACTGTGACGACCTGTCTCGGAAGGCCATTTGATCTCTGAGTATGCGGAATTTTGTACACTCCACGGAACTCTTCTCTGTAGTGAAGTTGATTTTCAATTTTAGACATGTGGGCAAAAAGGCATTTTCTCCAAGAATTTTAAACTAATTTTTATTTTTAAATGGTTGACCGAAATTTGTCAGTAAATTTTACATGTAGAAACATTTTAAAAATCATTTCTAGCAAGCACTTGGCATCTAGTCAGCCCTCTACTCCTTTTTCATTTTGTCTCATCCGATCAGTAGATTAGGAACTCCTTTCTTTAAAGAAAACAAATCCTCATAATTAAGCAGCAGAATATCCGTCTTCACGAAGTATGAGGGATGCCAGATGTTGATAAACTTAGTTACACTTTTCTTAATCTGGACAAAGCAAACCTAACAGATTTTTCTGATGAGCATGTTTTATGAATCTTCCATTGTGCTCCATTCTATCACATGTGCATTTTTCATGTTAAACTGCAGTTACTTAAACTCTTCCCCTATCCTTCTAAATTAATTTTCCAAAGTTGGAGTGTAGTCTTTCCCCTTAGGCTATGCATTAATGGAGGCTTTCTTTTCACCGTACCTTATAACGTCTAGTAGACCGTGTTTCCGCTTCCCACATCTTCGCTCCGCACAGTCACCTTGCCCTTCCTCCCACGCCACCTAAGGAAAAAAAAAAAAAAAAAAAAAAAAAAAAAAAAAAGATGGTCATGCTAACAGGTGAAGTGTACAAGGTGTCTGTGTGTTTTGTGTAGCTTCAGAGTTAGACTGAAATTGCCAGGCACAGATTTAGTCTTGTCATTTTGTTTACACATCGGGGGAAAACAATTCAGTTTATTAAACGTTTCATGTAACTGCACCCAAGTTTTGCCAAGCTGGAAACTTGGACCTTTTCTGTGTAGTGACTTTTTAATTCTAGTTTTCATAACCTGGAGGTCAGACTGTTGCTTTCGCATGATGTATGTAGTGTCTCATGACTGGAGTTTGCTTTGTTTTATAGTATCTGTACTCCTTGTATTTTTCAAGAGCTATTTTGTAAACAGATGATGTATTTCTCCATTGAAAACACAATAAAAAAAAAAAACAGCACAATCCCACAGTTGGCTGGTTTCTTCGGACTGACTTGATTTCTTTTGTTTTTTCAGCGGTACATTGGTTATACTTACAACTTTATGGGACGGCTGTCAGCGAAGATTGGCAAAGGAGTTTACTTAGGTTACCTTGACAAAGGATTTGCTTCTTGTTAACGTATGCTTAGCAGTGGCAGTCTAGTAATGATCGGTACCTTATATAATCAGTATTTTTCCTATACATGATCATTATAAGGAGGAAAATGTGAATATAGTTACTATTAATTCACTCTCAGCTGCCCCACTGGCTACAGTATTTGTGTACGTAGACACTATACCTCTTCTGCATATTTGTCTCAATCGTGTGGACCGTGTACTGCTGATGCGTTTCTTTTCCAAAGCTGTTGGTGTTCCATGCGATCGGTCCTCTGTCTCTCGTGTCAGCAGGTGGCGCTGTTGTTTTTCAGTGACTTGAGGATTCTAGACCACAACCAGCTGAGATCTCCTGTTTCTCATTTTGCTAAACCCAAACCAGATACTGCTTCTCTTAACCCCCCCAAATGCTCAACGTTGCATACTGAAGTCGTGGGGAAAGAGGGAACTGCTTCATATGTTTGTAGTGGCCCGCTCTCGAGTATGGCTATCTTAAGTGCTTCTAGGGGAGGGGCGGACCTCCCGAGGTAAAAGCCGTTGTTCTCCCGGACACGCATTTGTGTGTATTTCGTTCCTGAAATTCCAAATCCTTATACCTTTATTATATACATCTATACATCTTATGTGTGTGTATAACAATTTACGACTGCAACACGGGATAACTTCTTATTAAACTTCCGGGGCTGTTCAGTAAAAGGGAAAATACTGTAAAAATTATCCTTGACTCCGTTGTTCACACCTACAGAATTGAACTTGCTGGACTTCTTCTACCTAGACAGACACTTAAACATGGGACTGAATATCACACTTTCTGACTTTGGTCACCTACGTGGTCTTTGGGCTTTTCATGCATCTTGCTGAATTAGCAAAATACGTGAAAGTTGTGTGTTTTGTGGCTCTGGGTATATTCTGGAATAAAGTTTGTATTTTTCTAATTAACACCTCTGTGTTTTTCTCCACACAGAAAAATGTTTTAGAGCTCTCTGCGTAGTATTAGTTCTGGCTGCAGTCAAGGTGGCAATAAGTGATCAGCAGCTCCAAGTAGCAATTGGTGTATGAAAGGGTAAATCGTTAATATACACAAGTTTGTAGACCGAGCCCTGGGAGTACTAACTGCCTGTGCACTTAAATGCATTTGCCCAAAAAGAGAAACGGTTTCTCTAAAAAGGCATTGAATAACCTTGTGGATAGACTTTTGCCTATTTTAATTCTAATTCTAATAAAAGAACAGCACAAGGAAAATTAGTTGCTTTTAGCCTGAATTGCATGTTTTGTTTTAAATTCTCCACCTTACTCCTTTCCTGGTAGTTTTTCTTCAAACCAGAATCACAAATGGATGCTGTCTTCACTTAGACCTGAACTTGGTACCCGAGGTGTTAAGTGTGCTCTGTAATAAACGTGACTTTGAGTCATACCGTGACAAGTGGCCTGTTTAATTCTGTGCAGTGTGTGTTTTGTATTGGTCTGATCCATTTATTCATCCTTTCTCTGTACGTACCAGTTGAAACATTCTCGTGACATTTTATGTGGCTTTATTGGCATCAGTATTTCTGAGCCGTGTATTTTACAAGTGGTTGTATATACTTCATCCTAGAAGTGATTTCGTGTACTTGGGAGTCTTCAGCCCCTGTTCCTCTTCCTCAGAGACACACTTTTGTCTCCGGGGCCTGTGGACATCACTGCGGCTGATCGGCGACCAAGCGTATATGATTTCGTCGAAAGGGATGGAGTTTGAAGCACACTACCTGCCCCCCCCCCCCCCCCCCCCCCCCCCCCGCCATCTCCTAGTTCACAGGCCTTTCCTTGAAAATGTAGAATTAAGGCTCTGCTCAGGTTCACATTTCAGAAAGATCACATGCGGGTGAAAGGTGGTAATTTTGGCTCCTGTGCTTTTTTTCCACAGTGAACCTTCTTTAAAGGCTTCCCATTCTCAGAAAGCGAAAAATCCTATCGACAGGGCAGAGTGTTGTTGAGGGCTTAGAGTTTAACCAGCTGTTTAAAATGTGAACTTTTAAATGAGGCACTGCATTCCCTTTCGTTCTGTTCTGGGTATCTATGTGCTGCACTCGTAGGATGGGAAATGGGTCATCTTTCGAAATGAAAAATAGAAATCTGTTGTGTGCTTGAATAGAAGCTTTACATTTTTTGCTATATTTCTAAGGTACAGGATAATCCCTTAATCAAAAATTGTTTTCTCCTTGCCACCCCACTTAGAGTTTCTGTTTACCTGTGTTATTTTTTAGTCGGGACAATGGATTTATGCTGCACCTTCCACACTCCCGCTTTCTGAGGTGCCAGAATTGACCAGGGAAAGCCTCCGAATGTGTGGGTTTTGTTTTACATTGTGAAATAAACAGCCAGGGGCTAGAAGCCCCTGAGCTGATTGACCCTGGGCTTGAACTTGCCACTGACGCTTGGACTTAGCAGAGTTCTTTTTCCCAGCTGAGCACAGACCCCACAGCCATAAGGCCTACCTGAGACCTACCACAGCAAAAACACATTATTTGGAACAGTATAGATTCAGTTACATAGTATCCTAGCCCTTCGGTACATTTCATACCCATTGTTTTATCTGTACTTGAATATTTTTCAAACTGCTGCATCAATGGTTTGAAATAGATTAACGAGAAAGCCATTAAGTTTAAGGTTTAAGTCTCAGGCTGAGTATAATGTAATTAACAGTTAAAGTGACAACGCATCACCTCGTGTAAGTCTCCGGCATCTCAGTATTTGGAAGTATCCAGACCGTATACTCTGTTCTCACCTAAAGTGGATGTTTTTTAATTTCATGTCCGTC